GTGTATATCAGAAAACGATAGAGCTTATGTGTTCAACCAAGAATTTGTTACAATCCGGAAGAACACATTTATTGCATGTAATATGTAAGGTGTGTTTGGACTCTCGCGCCCGAAGGAGATGTCGGAACATCTTTACAATATTCAAGAGCCAGAAGCATGGAGGCTGGCTGTCGGTGGTGATGTATACGTTGAAACACGGTGACCTGGTGAGGGCTCTGGGCAATTTGACAGGTTTGATGGAAGGCAATTCATAAATATGACTTCCAAAGCCCTCTCTCAACTTGGTATTTTGACTACATAGCCGCGGTCATGGTATGGCACGTGGCACAGACTTTACAAAAGTAAATATTCCGTAGTAAGTAAAACCAATCACACCGCACTAAGGGTCGACTCATCCGAACTTCCCTACGCATTTTAAATTTTTGCTTGCTCTTTTCATACTGAAACCTACTATTTAGTGAGAAAAGACAAATGTGGTATTCCATAGGGAGATCCTGTGTTGGGGTGATAGAAACAGTTCGACAAAGCTTTTTACCCTGGACGTGAAGCAATGTTACAATCGCCATATTGATGATGAATCTTTCGGAAGTCACACCAGCTAGTGCTTCAAGCTAGGCCGGAGTGGCGCTAGTGGACATCTGGGATGGATTCCCACCTTAGACCGTCACCACGACAATCAAGAGGATGGCCGGCCATGTCGTATGCTGATGCGAGTCGGCATGTGTAACTCCGTGCTTCACGAGAGGGCGTGTGTATGAACCCTGTTGGGCCTAATAATCAAAGAAAACTACAGTTAGATTGATGGTCCTAGGCATTGAGATATCATGTGGCCAGTGAAACTGAGACACGAAAAAGAAAAGAGTTTGCAGGCTTCCTTTGAAACGGTCATGCCGTCTCAGTCTAATTGTGTATACTTCACGTGATGCATGTTTAGTTGCATCTTCCCACAAATATAAAATCAAATTCACACCAGGAAATTTTGGGGATTCACTACCATATGATACCACCCTGACATGGAGTTTATTACAGCCTAAATATAAAATATTTTTTGCTAGAAAATATGCCATCTTTAACTATTTATAGCATCTTCTTATTCATCAAAAAATATCTGCGGTGAGAATATGCCATCTCGAATTCGCTTAACCACTATTTCTTGCTCATCATTCTTCTTCGGATATTTTGAAAGATGAGGTGGCGTGTCAAGAGCATCACAATATCCGCATTGCTCGTCTCCTTTCAGAACTATCCTCTGCATGTTGGGGGCTTGCTCTAGAATGGATCTTATAAACGTAAATTGATGTTGTAGTGACCTAAAGCCAATAAATTATAGCTCTTTCAAAAGAGAGTTCCTGGATCCATCGAAGTGCATTTTCCACCGAGGAGTCCTTCTTTTAGGGTACCACCGTCTGATTTTTTTCACCCAAATCACATGTATGTTCCCATACCTATATTTGTGTGACCAATTCAGTACATATGTAAGCATTAAATCACTTTCCGTTAAAGTGGAAATCTATAGTAAGCTCTAAATGTTGAGAAGGACACAAAAGCAATATAATTAAAGAGGAAAATAGTGCCAAAGAGATCACCTCAATATGTAACATTTCAATACATGGTGCCGCCACAAGAAAAGCTACTGTCCATTCTAGGTTGAATTCAACAAAGATGCCACGCACGGATAGCTTCCTTATCTTATTGAATGCAGGGAGGAGTTGCTTCATTTCAGGTTGAATCCAAAGCTGGTCAGAGGATTTAAAAATTAAGTACTCCCTTCGTTTTTATATACAAGGCCACTATGGAATATACGTTTTGCATCTATACAAGGCCACCAACAGTAATCGAGGCAAAATTAATGATATTTTCTCGTACTATCAACATGTTTAATAGTTGCATGCATGCAGTCATAATGGGAGTCAGCTAATTCCTCCACTCAGTTTTCTTGCATGCATGTGAGGTATTAATGATCCCAGTAAACAAAAAGAAATGCTGACTTTCAAAGCAGACATTAAACTTTACATTGGTACCTGTTATTTGAGTTTGTGGTCTTGTATATAAAAATAAAAGGAGTATATAATTCTCAAGCACACTGCTGAGATTATCAAATAAATTATAGCTATGTTGATTCTCTGTCATAGATGAAAACATAATGAACGCAAAAAGGGAAAAGAATACGAGTACTTGGCTGAGACAAATTACAACTTACGTTTTCTCCTTTGAAATCCAATGTGAGAGTATGTACGCAAGTTGTCCCACGTAGAAGCTCGCTTAATTTAAATTCAGGTTGACCACACATCGCATCACACAAGAATTCTAGTTCCCCAAGAGACGGGACAAATTCAAAGGCCAAAGGAGCTTCGTGAGATTCCCAAATATTCCATCCGAGCTTCTCCAGTTTTGGAAGGCAGACCAACTCAAGTCTCTCAAAACGACTCTTGGCGAGTTCTAGAACACGGAGTTCTGAGTTTGGTGCATCAATCTTAAATGGAGAGTGTGCACCAGTATCACACCGAGAGAGGCGTAGATGCTTAAGTTGCTTGTAGCACTCAAACAACAGATGGTGCGTATCCAATTTGTCAATGCGTACATTGTATAGGGAGAGCTTTGTGATGCAGTGGAGCACACTAAGGTAGGCAATGAAAAAGCCATCTATTTCTTGAGCTCGCTGCAGCATATCCTCCTCACTACGGTCCAAAGCATCTACCTCATCAAGAATGGTAAGATCCAAATCTTTCAACAAACCACTGTCAGTTGCATCACCTATGAGTGGGCCAACTTCGTGCAAGAAAGTGTTGATCAGGTAGATCTTAAGATGCAGAGTAGAGTAGAGATGCTGGATTCTTTATGCCGGTTACCCAAGAAACTCCGGGTTGCTTTGGTTAGAGAGGCCATTGCTTCCTCCGTGTCCTTCACCTCTATAGGGTTGAGGCCTGGAATTGGATGGATTTTTTTGGCATTAATGCTGACCTCGGGCAGCAACCAAGGAAGGCGCCTCCACTGTGTTGACAATGACAGCGCACTTGTCCGTGCAGCAGTGCGTACAATGACTCTCGCCAAGATGGACAGTAAAATATCATCTGTCAGCATGCTGAGTCTATCTTCCTCTTTTGGTTGCTGCGAAATTATGAATCTATTTAGTTAATGAACTCCTATATTATGCCACATGTCATCTATTAGGACGGGTCTCGCCTGCTAACCGTAAGACCTGGTCTCATATAATTTTTTTCCATGGGCGGAGGAGGAGGCCTTGAGAGAGCAGAGTCGATCGAGGACGAAGAACCAAGGTACTCCTGACATGCGGGCCCAGTTGTTTATGTTTTTTTATCTCACGAGGAGTGTACATATGGAAAGCTCTGTACTTGCAGTTCCAATGTTCCATGCATGTTTTGGATCTCGACCATAGCCTGAAGTCCAACTTAGTAAAGTTGACCAAATTTATATTAAAAATACCAACATTTACTCTCTCCGGTCATTTTTACTCTGTATATATGAATTGTCCAAAGTTAAAGTTTGATAGTATTTATAGGAAAACGATGTTCTTCAAACGGCTGATGTACATGCAGCGTCCGCTATCTGATTAGTTGTCGGATCGATCTTGATTGAGCGCTCACGCTAGCCACAAGTCACACGGAGTCCCTTTTTTTTGCAACAAGCGTATTGTTTCCAAAGGTTTCTGCAACAAAGATCTGATTTCAAGAGAAAAAAATGACGGTGAAGAAGTTTCTTCTGCAACAGGGTTCTTATTTCAGAAACATTGTCCCGGTTGCAAAATCGGAGGAGCGTCCGACGTATGAGGCCAAGCATCGCAACATGATGCATGTTTCAAAAACATAACTTCGGTTGCAGAAATCGTCCCAGGAGTGCTCGGTGTGAGAGCTTGTCGTCGTCGTGCCGGAGTGGAGATAACTGGTCAAGGTGTTGAGTCGAAGGAGGCACGACAACTCCGGCGCTCAGGCCATGGCGGGGCAGCGATGCTGTCTTGACAGACCTTTGCGACAAGGTCCTTGTTGCATAGCCCCCGAGCGCAACAAACTAGTTGTGGCAAAGGTCCTTGGTTGGCTGGGCAATTGATCGGACGGCTGTTTCGGATGGCATCCGACAGCTGCAAAGCCGGCCGATCTAATCGGTTTATCATCTGGCGGACGCGTAGCAGTGTCCATATTTATATGGAAAAATATCAACATCTACTATACTAATGTTACACAATACGAAAAATAAATGTATGACACATCTAATGATATTATTTTTGTATTGCAAATATTGCTATTTTCTTCTATAACGTTGGTCAGAGTTTACTAACTTTGACTTCAACAAAATCTTCTATATGGAGTAAAAAGACACGAGGGAGTACAATACTACAGTTATACAATGCCAAAGTCAGTTTCATGATACATCTAATGATATTGATATGGTATAAATGTTGATTTTTTTATATAAAATCAGTCAAACTTCGAGGTAACCTACAGTTTGTGAACCAGATGGGATGTTTGTGAACTGCATAAACGATGACAGTCTGGGCAATGTTTAATCTATATGACTTCTATGGAGTCCACGAAGAGGCCCAAAGCAGCCTGGCTTGCAGTCCCCCGGTATGTGTTCCACCAGAGGTGTATGTAAAATGAAAGGCAGCAGAACCAATGGCATTCCGCAGGCAAACTAAGCAAGAGGGCAATGCGTCAGATAAGTCACATCACCAATGAACCAAGCCAATATCTTCCGAGAGCTACTTTATTCAAATTCTCTCCTATCCAACTCATTTTTCGTGGATTAGCATCTCAAAGTTCTTTGATGGGCATAAAGAAGAAACAGCCAGCATAACAATCACCACATAACCGCCCAGACGTTATAAGCTACGCACAACAATAATAGCTGACAGGTTCACTTGAAAAGTGCACAAATAATTCACAGTAGCAAGGGCGTATTTCTTGTTTTCAGGTCGGGAATGCTAGAAACTAAGCGAGTTCGTTCCTCTCAAAAGTACTCAACATGCGTGACAGGAGACGGTCTCATTTCTTGTTGTTGTTGTTCAACATCTTGAGTGACTGGAGCCCAAGCAGCAGGTCGCCCGAGTCGAGGAACACCTTGTTGTTGGAGGCTGCGATGGTGTGGGCGATCTCCCTGGCGGCTTCAATCTGCCTGAGCGCCACAAAAGCAGGGTTGTTGGCAATGGCATTACCAATCAGCTCTGCACTCTTTGCTTCTCCCTGTTCAGATACACAAAGGCTCATCAATCAGCGTTCGAATCAGGTGCTCTAAAATTAAACAAGTGAAATGTACAACCTAGTGTTAGGCAAGTGCTACAAAACTCAGCAATTGTAAAGAAAAGAATTGTACAGAGTTATGAACACTAGCAGTATATGCCTATACTAACTACCACTGGAAGTGACACTGGAACATAGAAAATGGTTAGTCTGATACTAAATTCAGTCATATGAACATACCACCACTGGAAGTATGATACTAAATTCAGTCATATGAACATAGCACTGGAAGTCTGAAACTATGTTCAGTCCTATGAGCATAGCACTGTTAGTCTGAAACTACATTCAGTCCTATGAACATACCACTGCAAGTCTGAAACTATATTCAGTCCTATGAGCATAGCACTGGAAGTCTGAAACTACATTCAGTCCTATGAACATAGCACTGGAAGTCTGAAACTATATTCAGTCCTATGAGCATAGCACTGAAGTCTGAAACTATATCCAGTCCTCTGAGCATAGCACTGGAAGTCTGAAACTATATTCAGTCCTATGAACATAGCACTGGAAGTCTGAAACTATGTTCAGTCATACGAACATGCCACTGGAAGTTCAAAACTAAACTATTGACATAGCAATCCAATCATCATATGAAATGTACAAATTTACTAGAGTCAGGATCAAGTCTCCCAAACTCAGAAAATGCAGGGACATATATGAAGATGAAGACTTAAAGAACACTAGCAATATGCCTCTACTAACTACCAATGGAAGTCTGAAAATAGGTGAAGCCATATGGAAACCATGTACCACAAACTTAACAAATGGAATGTATATTTCTACCAGTGTTTGGCTCAAATGCGCTACCAAAACTAAACAAGTGTAACGGAATATATGATGAAGCTATGAAGACATAAAGAACACTGGCAACATGCCTCTAGTAACTATGATTCAAACAGTAAACAAGATAAGTAGGTTTAGTAGTGTTAAAGAGAAATATCAAGCCCCTGTTTTGCTTACCTGTGCCCTGATAATTGCACTTTTCTTGTCTTGCTCAGCCTTCTCAACAATGAACTTGGCACGCTCAGCTTCCTGAGCAGCAACCTGTTTGGCTTCAATGGCATGAGTGAACTCCTTACCAAAGCTGAGACTGGTAATGGACACATCATCCAGAGCGATGTTGAAGTTCTTCGCCCTCTCTGTCAGAATCTTCCTGATCTCCCTGCTCACAGCCTGCCATCACATGACAGATGAGTCAGTAACATATTTCAAGTAAGACCAGCTATTATCTCCTATAGCATGGAAAACATGTACACACAGCAAACATTGTGAAGCTGTACCTCTCTCTGTGTGATTAGCTGACTGGCATTGTATTGGGCAACCACAGCTTTGAGTGTTTCATGAATGATTGAAGGCATCACTCTCTCGTTATAGTTCTCCCCCAGGGTCCTGTACATAGTTGGTAGTCTCTCTGGCATAGGTCATGTCAGAACACGAAGACCAATTCTCACTTGTCCAAATTGTCAAGCAGTATCATATATATGATAGGAGCTGCAGTGTAAATGCTACTTCTGGAAATAAGTGCATGACCACTAACGAATTCACATAGTCATAATGATATAACTTGTTCAGCATCAGCTAATCATGTTAAATCATCATGGCAACATATAATCATGAAGCAAAAAAGCACTTGCGACTGCTGTTGACAGATTCAAAGTGAATGAGTTGAAATGCTTATTCACAGGCAATACATAATGGTGACCACTGCTAATAGATTAAAAGCAAATGAGCTAAAATGGATATTCATAGAGCAGTAGACACTAGACAGTCATAGGCTACAATGCTGTGGGATTTTCATAGATTAAGTGACATGGGTTGCATTAAGATCCAAAAGAGTCAAGAAGAATTGACTCCATCGATGCGAGCCATGTCATAACAGCTGTTTTCACGGTAACTGGAGACTCAGAATTGATAATGGCAAACACCTGACATGTGCCAGATTCCACCCACCTATCCAAACTGGTAAACAATTTAGATGTGCTCAATCCCCTTGCAGGCTACAGTTACAGAATATGCTCAGAAATGACAATGCCAGAACCGTTTTACATGTACCAGACTCCATTCACCGGTCCAAATTGCTAACTAATCACTTCACATGAGCAGAGTATCAACAAATATCATCAAATAAGACTCGTGCAAGCTACATTTTCAAAATATCAACAAATATGAACAACATGGCCAACTAAAAGCAGACCCCTTGGTCGGTCCCAGGCATGGATTTGGCACGCAGATAAGCAGTAAATCAGGCATCTGTGATAGGTGGGAAGGGATCGAGACAGGAGGAGGTTACCATCTGGAGATCCCGGCTCCCGGAGGTGCTCTCGACGAGGTTGGGTCGCGCGCGGACGTCGTAGATGATGGGCCTCTCGAACCACGGGATGACGATGTGAGTCCCCTCGGGGTAGACCTGCACGGAGCACGCACGCACACCCAGAAATCAGACGCACGCGGAAGGGGCCCGACAAATCGCTCAAAAAAAAAAACCGTAGCGCGCGTCGCCGGCGGCCGAGATCCGCGGATCCGCGCGAGGGGAGGGGGCGGCGGGCACCTTGTCCTTGATCCCCTCGAGGCGGTTGAAGACGATGGCCCGGTGGCCTCCCTCGACGTTGTAGAGGGTCTTGTTGCCGAGGTAGAGCGCGGCGCCGCCCAGCAGCCCGAGCT